CCAGCAACCCCGATCAGTTTGCCTATAATTTCATGAAAGGTCCTGGTTTTATGGCCCTAAGTGGGGGTGAAGCAGTACATATTTTGAAGTGTATCCCCATAGAGGTTAGGGTTCAGCACGGAGAGAAATGCTACAATGAGCTGCAAGTAGTTCGAGGCAATGTGACGATGTTTTTGACACCCAAAACACATATACTCAAGAAAAGCGGTACAGAGGTGGTTTGCAACACAGTCCTTCCTCACTATTACCTTCTGGATGATATTTGGTATAAAATAATGCCTAAGCCTACTGAAGCAAAAGATCCTATCACTCTACGCCCTAGCAATGAAGTCACATGGACTTATTCCAGCCCAAAATACCTCGCTTCAAGTGGTATTTATTCAAGCAAAGATCTCGACGACCTATCAAGAGCTATAATGTTTCCTCTGGAACGTCCAGCATTATTGAATAGTTTCGCCAAGGAATTACACGGTGCTACAGTAACAACAAAGGATGGAACCATAATCCGTCTCCTCAATGATGAAGTCTTAGATAAAATTGTCGAATCAACCTGGGGAAAGTTTTGGAAGAAATTCCTGACTTTTGGCTCGGCTAGTGCTGGAGTCATTGCTATTCTTATGATTTTGCACATTATTAAAATCATCATCGACACCACAATCAATGGAGTTGCTCTCCATCGAGCCTACGGATGGTCATTACATATTTTTGGGGCTTGTCTTGGCTCCCTGACACACTTATTAGTACTAGCAGCTCGCAGACAAGGAGAAGCGCAAGAACTAAAAGAACAACAACCTGCTCTAGAGGCAGCTGAACCACCGGATAGCACCACAAACCAACAACCAAGTAATGTCGTAACTCAACAACCACCCAATGATAGAGATACAGAGGAGCGTCGGTTAACCAACAACGTCGAAAGATCCAATTATTTCAGAATATAATCGACATCCTGTTCAATTTTCAATATCCAGGAATGTCTCTCCAACATAGGGGGGGATGTGACGTCCAGCACCGCCACTGATACCATATGTTTTTTTTCTTCCCCGCCTACAATCATGATCGATCGATAATCGCTCCCATTACCCACGTTAGAAAAATATCAATCCTAGATCATAGAGTTCCTAAGTTACCGACCCGATTAACGAATTTCATTTTAACAAATGTTTAATTATTCTTATATGATTTCTAAATATTTTAACTCACTATGTTTAATTATTATGTTTAATGAATTCAATTTTTATTATAACTCAATGATGTCAATTAAATAGAAAATAACTCCATAGAAGTATAACTACACGTGGCTGTATTAACGACTCAAAATGATTATTTACAAACACAACATTACATTAAGCTTTAAGCCGAGTGCAAGAATATCAAACAATAACAATTGTCACTATACCACAGATATCAAACTCAAGTAATCTATCAATTAATTAAATAATAATGAAATCAATAGCACTTCACGAACGAACACTGAGTCATCGTAAATATGCACTGTTTGGTATCGTTGCACTCGTCTCAACTCACTGATTTTAAACAATTCACTGTATCACACTTTTGTCAACAATTATGTCTAATATTTTATAATAAAGATTTGGCCCGTGGGACGTAGAAAGATCGAGAATCCGAGGACGGTTGGTTTGTTCAGCCCACTCGTAAATTTTACGACCTTAGGTCAAATCAAATTCCAGCATGTACTTAGCCCACCTAAAACAATAGAGATTCTGAGAGTATAAAAAGCCGATGAACAAACCAACAGACCTCGCATTCTCCCTTGAACCTCCAGTTGTAAAACACAGCACACGGAGCCGTTATAAAACATAACGAGTAAGTTCAAAAATTCATTTTCCTTCCTTCACTTCTCTACTCTGCAAGCCCATGAACAACTCATGGCAAAGAGCTTAAAACAAGCTCGTCTGCTACTCTCTCAAACTCTCCAGCTGTACAACACGGCCCACGGAGGCGTTATACAACATAACGTATGTGTTTGAATTCCTTTTTCTTCCTCTGCGAGCCCGTGAATAACTCACGGCAAAAAGAACTTAAAACAAGTTCGACAGTTTCGCTTTAAAACAAAGCGAAACTAGCGCTAAAATAGCGGACACCCGTCAAGCACGTGTGCTTGACAGGTATACAGGTGTTTTCATAACACCGGAGAGCCGTGACTCGTTGCCTGTTGTGTGTGTGCGGCGGCTGCTACAACAGCAGAAGTATACTCAGTCCCGGGACTTCCAATATAAGCCCGCGCCGACACAAAGAGATATACGCCGTACACATATACCTAGCAGACGCACACGAGTCCCTCTCGCCAACAATCATACACTCACGCTACACCGCGTCTACTACAGTAACACGTATACATTCCGTCCCGGGACTTACAATACAAGCCCGCGCCGACGCGAACTCATATACGCCGTATTCATATACTTAGCAGACACCCACGAGTCGCTCTCGCCAACAGTCATACACCCACGCTACACCGCGGCTACTACAATAACACGCGTACACTCCGTGCCGGGCCCTACAATAGAAGCCCGCGCCGACGCAACTCATATACGCCGTACTCATATACATAGCACACGCACACAAGTCACTTTCTCCAACGGTCATACACCCACGCTACACCGCGGCTACTACAATAACGCGCATACGATCAGTCCCGGGACTTCCAATATAAGCCCGCGCCGACGCGAACTCGTATACGCCATACACATATACCTAACAGACATATACACAACGTTTTCCATCTATTATTCCAACGTACTCATAAGCAACAGTTTCGAATATAACAAAAATGAACTCCTAGACTATTTGAGGTAAAACTCAAGGTCTGAACAATTAATTAAATAACTACAATCAGTTATAACAGTTGCTTCGCTGCACTATGTGTATGTATAAAATGTGCACTCGGTGGAATGCGAGGAGGAGGAGGAGGAGGTCAGAGCACGTCCAAATTAACACTACGTTATTATATCTATATAGGGTGGGCTGTCTCGTCTCGGTGCACAGCATCGATTTCGAGGCAGAGAGCACCACACACCGACGCGTCTCGTCGAGTCGAGAGAAACACGCGATTACGTAACGAATCTCTCGCGGTTATATATCCATCGAGGTATAGAGGATTCGAAGAGGTAGTGGAAGCTGCGACAAGCCGCAGCAACGTGTGAATGCAAAATATAGAAGTGATAGAAAAAACACACACCGTAGAGGTACATTCAATGTTGACAAAGCAACAAAAATAACAAAATCGTTCAGTCCTTCGCAGCCTCGGAATAGCAATTGATAATAAGTAAAATAGGTACAAACGACTGAGATAGCTGCTGCTGCTGATGCTGCGTGTATACGACGCGCCGCCCGCGCGGATGCAAAATATTTACGACGACGAGCAGACGATGACATTACACATACATATACTTACGAACACACACGTATGTATATAGAAATGTGCGCACGCGGGCAAAATATTCGCATCATACGTATATGTGTACGTATACTAGGCAAGGTATATAAGCATGATGACTGCGTTGGCATCCGCGCGTCTCTAGCACGATGCCGCGCGCGAACGCAGAGAAACAAACTTCGTGATCAAAACAACGCGCACAGAAAAAAAGAGGAGACGATGCCTGTATACAGGAGGAGAGAGTCGATTCGTCGTATTATATGGCTAGCCGCGAGCACAAAACATAACCTCTCTCGGTCTCGCTCGTGCAGCACATTAGAAATCGTATAAAGTTGCGGGGAGCTCGTGACGCGCAACATCTCTAATGGAGCCGCTCCAAAAGCCCAAGATGCGTTACTTTTGGGTAAACAATGGTAACGACGCTATCTCGGTTATATCACATACACGTGCTATATACTTATATGTATATCGTGTAAACGATGGCTTTCTGCTCACACACCAACTTTATACACACGCATACGTTCTCACATGCACGTGGATTGGATGCGTATACTCCAACAATCGAACGTCGCGGAATTTCCGTTGTAAACGAATGCAGTATTATATCTTGTCAATGTTCTTTTTTTTACTTACTCGGACGTCGTCGTCTTAGCTGTTCGTCGTGGTCGTCGTCCTTGCTGTTGTCGGTCCACGTCGTCCCAAAGTGGTGTAAGATTACACCGTGTTATACCGCTGCTGCGCGAGAACTGCTGCAGCTGCTGCTGGCCTCGGCGACGCACTCAGAACTTATATATTCGGGACTCGTTATTTTTTCTGCTGTGCAATATCACTGCCTTTCGTAGGCGGAAGTCGAATGGTATATTTTCTTGAGGCCTATGATCGAGGGCAGACATTTGCTGCTGATGATGCTTGCACACTAGACACTCGCGCAATATACAGGAGAGGCCCTCGCGTTACGAGCACCGTATTGACACTGGTTTTATAACAACATGTGCTTCTTCGCGCGACACAATAGGCATATGGGGCTGTGCTGCGGCTGCGGCGTGAAACTCGGAAGTCGCTGCTGCTGCTGCATTAGTTTAGGCCGTCGCGAGCAGAGGCAGGTAAGGTTTTGTACGGAATGACACGCGGCACCGTGAAACTCTTTGATAACACTGAGAGCTTAGTTTCTGCGCTCTAAGGTAAAACGGCTAGACTAGGTATTAATACGAGTTTTTCACGTACACGCGCTGCACACTCACACACAACGAGACGGCAGAAGTTATAACGTGGAAAATAGGAGGCGTGTGCGTGCGCGTGTGTGTGAGTGAGTGTGCCACGAGAAGACCGCCTTCCAAAGTGCGCGCGCATTTATTAGACCCCGCGCGTGTTTTAGTATTATAGTGTTGTGTTATGCCGCTGCTGTTTCTGGCGAGACTTTTCGATTTCTCTCTCTCTTTCTTCCTCTTTCTGCATTTATGACGATGACTGACGACGGTCTTCGATGCATTAGCCAGCAGCAGCATAATCACGCGTTTTTGAGGGAAAAATAGCGCAACAGGCTTATTATTGAATAACGTGCGAGAGTTATAAGTCGATGCAATATGCGGCAACTGAATAAGTTTTAATAAAGCTAGGGATAGGTTTTTGCTTTTGTTGTACATTGCTTTGTTTATACTCTCGATTTCTTTTTATTGCGTACACAGTGGAAAATTTTCGGCCAATACTTGGCCACCGCATAACAATAACTGCAATCCCTCGTTGATGATCTCAGCGTATTTGAGGAACATAATCGCATACATTCGAGTGCATTTGTTATAATGAATTTATATTATCGCTCGCAATCTTGATTCTTGACGCATCGATTGTACTTGCGCGAGAAGGAGTAGCCGCCGGTGCAGTAGCATCTCTTGTCCTTCTCGCACTTCTGCAATGATAAAAATTGGAACGAAATAAAAAATATCAAGCTCGAAGAAAAACAATACTGACTATTCTATAATTCGAACTTACGAGGGCCAGGCAAGAGACCATGCCGCACACGGGTGGACAGAGAGGGCCGCATTCGGCGAGGGTGTAATTGGCCGCGCACTTGGCCGATGCTATACAGGAACAAAAAAATCGGCCGAAAATCGGCAACATACAATTAATCGATCGAGCGCATATACATCGAAATTACAGCAAAAACGGATGAAAACTTACCCGATGAAACGAGGCAGAGCGCGACGAGGAGCGTCAGGCAGAGAACATAGCACTTGTTCATTTTGAGGAGCTAATAGTTGGATCGCGATTGAACTCCAGTGCAAAGGAAAAACTGCTTTTATATTTATCGTCGAAAGTTTGTTTTGAGTTCAAGAAAAAATAACAGCATGTTTGCCCTAGAGTTTATTGCGAAGCCGATTTTCCTTGTGCGCTAATACCCAATGTCGTTACAATGACCCAATGCTTCTTGGAAATATAGCGTAGAGATATCCATATATTCTTTTCAAATGAATTCATTTATTTCAAATTCGAACGACAATTAATTTGTACATCGTACAGCTTTGAATGATACTTTATTTATAAAAAAATAACTAAACGGGAGGAAAACAATCTACATCGAATGAAATCGGTAATATGTTTTATATATATTTATCTAGATCCCAAAAGCACCGAATTGGAGATAACGAAGAAAAGTTTTATAAATACGAGGAAATTCATTTCTATACAGAAGTAATCTTTTGCCAACAATTAGCATCGATGTAAGCGAGCAGCAGCAGCATAATATAGCACATAATAAATACATTAAAACATTGTACACGATACACATTATTTTTTCCTCTCTCGAATGCATCAATTTTCTTCGAGTGACGATACCGCTATGCACGGGAGAAGGGTTGATCGACATATTTCGCGCCTCACATTCTCCACGCTATCTTTTCTTTATTATTGTAATTTCGAATGTTACTCATACTGAAATGTATAGTCACAATGGCCAATTGTAATTAAATTTAATACCGAGTATGCAGGTAAGTCGCGGATAAGAGATAATATAATAATTTGGAACGTGACATCGGCCACGACGCGCGGACACAGTTTTATTTTACATAATTTTTATTTTATTTATTTATTTATTTCTTTTTTTGTTTCGTATACTTATGCGCTTCGCAATACTTTTTATAAACATTTAATATGCAGTGTCGTCTCTACGTCGATGAAAGAAAAAAAAAGATTATACACGTGTCCAAGCAGATTTTCTGCCGTTTCAGCGTGAACTCGCGGATGGAGCCAGCTTTTTATTTATATTCTTTTTTTCAATAGCGAGAGCTAGCGATGATTAAGAATGGAGAAAAAAAAACAAAAATAAATAAATGGATTTGTCCCGCGGTGTCTGGGCGATTTTGTGCTCGCGGTCACGTACATCAGTAGGAATTTCAAAAATGTGTCGATGCATATTTAAATTAGTCCTTTTTTTGAATAGTAAATATCGTTTTTTTTTTTACATAGATTTTGATAACATTCAATATATTTTATTTCAATTCTAAATACATTTCACCAGTATACACATGATTTATAACATGAAGATAATGGATCAAAATTTCATGAGGATTCCGGATCTCAATTTGATTGGGCGCGTGCGCGAAGGAATAGCGAAAAACAAAAATTAAAGTAAAAAAAATCCTGTAAGCCGCGCGAAAAAAAATTTCAACTTTTTTTCTCTCTCACTCTATCTTTCTCGTGGAATGTGTGTATAATGTTAATGGCGGGGGAGCGAATTACAATGTAACGCGTCGAGCTGCATAATACATAATTATAAATATTATGATAAGTTAATTATATATATCGATACACAATGTTGACGCACTTTAATGATTTTTTTCGCATATACACCGTAATACTGACCGACGTAATACAGAGATGTAATTAATTATGTTTTATTTGTTTATCGTTAAAAGGGTGTCTATTTGCGCGCTTGTGGGTTTATTACACCCGATGTGAAATCCACCTGGGCTCGAAGTTGACTCCATCGTCGGGTGGTACCCCATCTCCCCTGCATCTCGTCACCTTTCCTTTCTCTCGGCGTGTATTGATATTTTTATAATAATAATAATTATAATAATAATGATATCATATTGCAACAATTTACAATTCGGACGTGCGGGCGAAATTTTGGTGTATCAGTATACATTTATTGTAATATTGACCAACGATATATATTTACAAGGGTATATTTCGTAACATTATCATTCTTTTACACATGCCAATAAAATTTACTTCTTTTTTTGTTTAAATAAAATCTCGCAAACTTTTTCTTTTGCTTTAAAAAATCAACAAGTGCCCGTGTATAATAAATAGTGTTCGGCGAGCGTAATGCTGTCTTTGCGAATGAAATTGCACTATTGTATCGACTGACAAAAATGAATGAATTATTTTTTTTCTTTTTATACATTTTTGTCGCGCGCTCGAATTGAAAGAGACATCTCGGCATTAGAACATGATTTATTTTACAATGAGTATACAGCAAGCACAACCGATACTCGGTTTATACCATTTCTACATACTTTCTTTTTGTTTTTTTTTTTAATGACTCGATACAGCATATAGAACAACGAAAAAACGCTCCTTTATTTATAACACTGCGATGAATGAAAGAACATTATTTTTTGTAAAGATAAACAGGGTGAAATTTTTTTTTATTCTCCGTTCCGCTCTCCCCATCTCGCTTAGCAACAACAGGAGGACAGCCGACAAATTCACCAAGAAGAGCAACACGTTATCAATGAAGTTTTTTTTTTCATATTGATATTTTTAAATAAAACTAAAAATTCTTTCACTTATTTAATTCTAAAATATATCTTATATCTTAGCGTATGTTTTTTTTTATGCCTTTATTGTTATTGTTTTTTGCATTAGTGGCGCGAGTCTCTGGGGTAGAATTCGGCCAGGGTGTTGGCCGGGATTCTCTTGAGCATCTCCTTGGGGAAGATACGGAGCAACTGCCAGCCGATGTCGAGCGACTCGAACACCGTGCGGTTCTCGTACGAGCCTTGTGAGATGAAGTTCTTCTCGAACTTGGACAAGAATTCCAGATAGAGCAGATCGTCGGGCGTGAGGGCCTCCTCACCGACGACTGCCTTCATGGCTTGCACGTCCTTACCGATGGCGTAGCAGGCGTACTGAAATAAACGAGGCAAACGATCGTCAATTTTAGAAAAAAAAAAATCATCGTTGGATGGACTAGTGAAAAAGTTTCGAGACTCACCAGCTGATTGGAGACGTCGGAGTGATCTTTGCGAGTCATGCCCTCGCCGATGGCGGACTTCATGAGACGCGACAGAGACGGCAGCACGTTGATCGGTGGGTAGATCTGTCTGTTGTGTAGCTGTCGGTCGACGTAGATCTGACCCTCGGTAATGTAACCCGTCAAATCGGGAATGGGATGCGTGATGTCGTCGTTGGGCATAGTCAGAATTGGGATCTGGGTGATGGAGCCGTTTCTGCCCTCGACGCGACCGGCGCGCTCGTAGATGGTGGCCAAATCGGTGTACATGTAACCGGGGAAACCACGACGTCCGGGAACTTCTTCACGGGCGGCGGACACCTGCGATCGAAGATAAAAGAGTTAGTAAACAGTTGAAAATCAAATGATTTGGATGAAGATCGGAATCGCACCTCACGAAGGGCCTCGGCGTAAGAGGACATGTCTGTGAGAATGACGAGGACGTGCTTCTCGCACTGGTAGGCGAGGAACTCGGCGGCTGTGAGAGCCAGACGTGGAGTGATGATACGTTCGATGGTTGGATCGTTGGCGAGATTCAAGAACAGACACACGTTCTCCATGGAACCGTTCTCTTCGAAGTCCTGCTTGAAGAAACGAGCGGTCTCCATGTTCACACCCATAGCGGCGAAAACAATGGCAAAGTTGTCCTCGTGGCTGTCGAGCACCGATTTACCTGGTACCTTGACCAGACCAGCTTGACGACAGATTTGTGCAGCAATCTATAGTACATAAAAAAAGAAACATGAAAATCAAAGTAATGATTGCAAGATTTTACTCTCAAAGTAATCCTTTTGAATTTACTCACTTCATTGTGAGGCAAACCAGCAGCAGAGAAAATTGGGATTTTCTGTCCTCTGGCAATTGAGTTCATAACATCAATGGCAGAGATACCGGTTTGGATCATCTCCTCTGGGTAGATACGGGACCAGGGATTGATGGGCTGTCCCTGGATGTCAAGGAAATCCTCTGCCAAAATTGGGGGTCCCTTGTCAATGGGTTTGCCTGAGCCGTTGAATACTCGACCCAACATGTCCTCTGACACCGGTGTGCGCAGAATGTCACCGGTGAACTCGCAGTGAGTGTTCTTGGCATCGATGCCTGAAGTACCTTCGAACACCTGAACAACGGCTTTGGAGCCTGACACCTCCAAAACCTGACCAGAGCGGATGGAGCCATCTGCAAGTCTTAGCTGAACGATCTCAGCAAACTTGGGGAATTTTACATCGTCCAAAATGACCAGGGGACCGTTTACACCAGACACAGTCTTGTAGGCTGAAAGAATAAAAATGGGACTGATTAGTTTGAGATTAGACTAGTGCCTGTATAAGAGAGTCTAGATTGGATTAGTTTCCAACACACCATTAAAACTTATCAGTTAATGAAAGTCACATGACTCAATAAAGTTTCAGTATACTAACTACCTTACAATTAAGAAAGTAAAATAATCATGAAAATATGCAATACGCCAGTGCATAGAGCTCAAATATTGGAAAATTGCCAACGAAAGCTGCATAAAGCAACTGTCTGCACTTTTGACAACAAACAGCCTGATTCTGTGCATATCATAGTTCATATAATTTTCAAATAATCATCGACAAAACGATCGTTCGAATGGTTGCCTCTGATTTCCCAGCAAAACATCCAAAAACCAAAGGCAAGCATAAACGCCGTTTTAATTCATTCATTTATCCGTGCGTATCCGTGTTTGCAAAACCATTGATTTTCACGTGATACGTCCCGTGCAAAACGCCTCGCGCGGATCCGCGACGTATTGTACTAAAAGATACGATATACATCATGTCGTCTGCAGTCACATGACACGATTCGCGGTGCCGTAGCGCATCGAGCACCACACTCATATAACGCTACATACATTATATATCTATATATGTTAACATGTCTGTAGTATCGACGGTGAAAAATTTCGTCGATGCACGTGAGATCGCGAGGCTCCGAAAAAAGAAAGGCATACAGATGATGGAAATTTTGACGTCCAGCGAGTTTCGAGGAGAGATTTAAAGGTATCGAATACAAACACGGGCTCGGCTCTGTTCAGTAGCGAGTGTGAGATCAGCTGACCGTGCGATGTATACACGAGATCGATCTGCGTCCACCGCCCACAAAAATGTCTACCCCTTTATATATTTTTTGCGACATAATTCGCGTGCGGAATTCCGACAAAACAATAAGGGCAAAACGGTACGGTACGAAAACGAGCTCGAAGCATACGTCTAGATGTACAGATAGATATATACAAGATGAGAGAGCGATATATGCGTGTGTGCGTGCAAAAACTCACTGAGTCGCGGCTGGTCGATGAAGTTCCTCGTCACGGCGAGGATGTGCTCCTTGCGTGCCTCGTGAGCGCCCAGGGTCTGCTGCAGGGACGACATGGCTGGATGAAAGCTCGCTTCGGCTCGAATGAATCAAGTCTCGATATACCAATGAAATATTTCTTTAATCCCAGAGTCGCGCTGCTTATTTCGACGCCAGTGAGACACTACTGCTGTGGAGGTATTTCACGCTCGAGTCTCTCGTCCATACAGCTCGCGCAGCACCGAGTATATCGCACTGATGTGTGTGTGTGTTTGTGTGTTTGAGACTGTGTGTGGAGCGCACGACACACCACGGGATCTCGTATGCTATACAGTATATATCGCCGTCTCGTTCTAACTTGTATTTCGGAGTCACGAGAGAGAATTTGTGTACGTGAGAATTGGGTTACGTGTGTGCGTGAACTGGTGAATAAAGATAGCAGAAGAGAACCACTGCTCAGGCCGTCTCGCGCAGCTTCGCATACAATGACACAACAACATACAAGCCAATACAGAGCTTGTATTTTGTGAAGTGATCGTGACATTTTCACGCGTATAGCCAGATGGGAGGCCCATGCGAGCAATCGTCAAAGTTCCAAGGGGGAAAAACCCCATCGGAGCTGCTGCTGCTGCTGCGTAACGAGAGTTTGACACTTACGGGACGCGTATAGTGACAGGCGCGGAATATCATTGTTATTGTTGTTGTCGTTGGTCGAAGAAAAAGACGCAACATAGGCGCGATCAGCTTTAAGCACGTGGAGTCACGTGGATTGCGCGCGCACGATATTTCATTCGTTTTAACTCGAGCGAGAATCGCGGCTTGTGATGTGGCTGTGCTGCAGTTCTTTAGGCGCGCTCGAATTCGAATGTAGAGATAACGACATTTTATTGAATATGATTTTCGATAAGAGATACTTTTTTTCCATCGAGTCACGTGTGAATTTTGGACTATAATGGCATTGCGTTCGACTCGTGATTACTATTAATCGATCGTCTTTGATAGGGCCATCTATAATTGAAATTTAATTTGGAGCATTATGTATAATCGGAGCACAGCTGGATAAAGCAAGCGAGAAAATTGCCATCTATCTATTGACGTAAGTACGTAAGAGTTATACGCTGCCGATCTTGCTCGCATATCTCTCGCGATTAACTCGATTTCTGCAGTACCATACGCCGAGAGCAAAAATGATAACGTATAAAAAACGATATGTATAATTGCAACGAATGGTCGGTTGGCGGCGCGTCGCGTTCTTCCCGCGTGTCTCCAAGACTCGAGACTCCTCGATCTACGTCACTATACTAGTCTGCTATATACGGCTAATATACGAGTGCGAGAGAGACAGACGTTTAAATTCGCGCAGCAGCAGCAGCACCAACCAACTGGTCGTGCAAAAACTGGGGGCCCGTCCCGTCATACAACATAGCATACTCTGTGTGTATATACAACAAGCGAGCAGCAGCAGCTCGAGGGGGAGTTCATCAGTTTTGCGCCTGTCTGCTTAGCAGTTCGGAGCTGCCGGTGATTTAGCTCTCTCGATACTTCTCCGATTTTATAATTATTACTCATTTATTAATAGTAAGCTCGAGCCTTTTTCATCAATAATATTATTAAAGATACTAAAAAAGGAAAAAAAAGTAAAGGGAGGGAAAAATCGCGGGGGCGTCCAAAGTAGCTTCTCGACGTCTCGCGTACACCATAAACTTATTGGAACACATAAGTTGTTTTTTGCGTGAATCGAACGTCGTGTGTATGCGTGAGTGTGTGTGACAGTGGTTTGAGCTACTACGCTACGTTTCAGCTACTGCCTGCTGCTACTGGCCTACATATTTTTTAATCGAAAAGAAAGAAAATATAGATTATATTATTATCGCCCAGACCTTCGCTGACCGAGGGTTTTTTTTTTGTCTCGAGAAGCCGATTTATAATTCTCCGAGTCTTTAGCTCGTGAAACTACAAGTAAGCTCTCGACAGTTACACACAGCCCTTCAAATAATAATAATAGTTATAGTACACAAGAGCACACATCATCCCGATAAAGTGTAGTGTAGTGTATGTATATCGAGCTTTTAGAGGTTATACCTTTCGGGTGTATTTTTATTTCGAATGTATAGAAGAGAGTTAGCCTCTCGGAGAATCGACGGGTGTGGAGCATGTGTGTGCGAATATATACGTGTGCATATAGTGCAGTGTATATATATGGCTTTGACCCAGAGAGCCAGAGTCGGTGGCATCTCGGGGGCAAAAGTTCAGTTGTGGCACACACGACGGCTCGATTTTTTTTTTTTGCATGAATTTCCAAGACATCAGCACACGAACTCCTTTCAGATCTTTTGACTCAAAAATTTCGCTCGAGTAGCTGAAACTCAATTATAATTCCAAAGAAATGGATCACGTCGATATATACACGTACACACACATACGCACGCAGACACGTATACGTTACGCTGCTGCACTGACCTTTTTCTTCGTTTCGCTCCGCAATCTAATCGACTTTTGTATTATTTCAATGTCTGCCGGGCTTATACTCGTGGATATTATCGGTCAATTCTGGTTTTCTAAGTCGTCGACAAAAATTTGCATAGCTCGGCACAAGTAAATGCCTATAACGTCGTAAAGTTTTTCATTTTCCATTGAGTTAGATAGCAATAGCAGTAGCCAGCAGCGAAGAAACGAGGCAAAAAATAGCAGGATAAACATCTGCTGCTTCGATGCGATACGTTATTTGCGGCATGAGTATGACTAAGCTAATATTATAAATTGTTGTTTTGATAATTGACTGCTGCTGCTTGTCGCTGCTGCTGCTGCTACTGCTGCTACTCGAGAGTCGAGTGGTTTTCGGAAATTCGCGATTACTTCAACGAGCGTTTCACAATTTTCTAGTTAAAAAAAAAAAAAAAACCAAAATCATTTTCCAGTTCGATAAAGTAAAACGAAAATAATACGAGTAATTTGTTTTTCGCCATTCTCGTCGGATCTTTTTAAAATCGAAGGCCGATGTGTATTTTTTATTATTATGTCACGTGCGGCACGCGCGCAAGCATTGAATATGCAAAATCTCGGGTCTCCGTCTGTCTGACTCGCGGAAAGCCTCGCGCACACACACAATGTTTGTATGTGCGACGACATTATAATCCGTAAAGATTTTATTCTCGCGTTTTTACGCTCCGAGTAATGTACTCGACATCAAAAAGTCAAAGTATCGAGGATAAAAATTTTGCACGTTCCTTTTTTCTTTTTGCCGTGGTACATGAAAAATCGCGCGCGTGCACTTGCTGACACGGCGGTCGCGACCGCGAAATTATACTCACACATGCACAGGCGCTTGCAATGTTTGAACATTATTTAGCTCTTCCTCTAAATAGACTTAGACAGACGGAGTCGTAAGAAAAAAGAATTTCGACGTTCGAAGAAGAGCCGCCGTTGAGCTCGTCGGGTCATATATTAATAAAAATATTCGCTATTATCGAACTCCTCGAAGCCGCGTCTATAATACTTTTTCGACATTATCGCCTCTCTCTTTATTTGTTATAAAATGACCTCTGAATCTTTTTTCTTGATAATAAATTCGTATACTACTTACGAGTGCCTCTCGTTATCGCGTATCGCACGCATTCAAACGCAGCAGAAGCAGCTCGGCTCGTTTAATTATAATATATTAATGTTACACCTTGGCCGTTGATCGTTATAAACGTGCACATAATGTCATTGTGTAGACGTATAGATTTTATGAATGAAGTGCGCATCCCAATACCAACGGAGGATAAAAATATCTTCTCGCAGTTTTGTCTTACGTGCGCGGTGCAGCGTGTCTGCGAGTAGAGAGCCTCGACCTTGCCCTAAATTTTCGTGTGTGTGTGCATATGCGGCTGCTCTATCTACCTCTCGAAATGCATGTGTATGTGTATATGTGTACACAAATCTTATATTACACCTGTCTCACACCTACACACGATGTTTCAGAACTCGAGAGATTCCGATTAGATTATTATATAGAGATACCTATATCATATTTTCTCTCCTCGATGATCGATTTTTAATTGCCACGAATTAATTTATTAACGTTTATCGCAGGTGGAGTTATAATCCCGTTTTGCGAATCAGCTTCTCGTCGTCATGTCTTCGATCCAGAAACTGCAGACCCTGTCGAGGGCCCTGAGCGCCCTCAAGCCCTACCGGGCCGCGGCGGCCGGCAGCAAATCCTACTACACGTACGTGAACGAGCCCGCCATGCCGATCCCGAACAAGGAGCCGACCTACGTCAAGTCGGCCGAGGAGGCGATCGAGAAAGCCGGTCTAGCTTCCAGTGAGTATATACTTAATATCGTTGTACATTTTTGTCGAGTCATTTCGATGATGCTCACCGATGATAATTATGACAACGATGATACACAAATACTTACGATAACGTTGAGAACACGATGAAAAACAAAATCCATCGCGGAGATTATGAGAGAGCGAGTGAAAAAATGTAATTCGTTGAATGAGATTGTTTGTCATAGCATACAAGCTCGCGCACACAACCGGCTACAATATCGATCGCAATTTGATAATGACAAGCCTCCGATCGCGTTACGTTCCGCAAATTAATTTGCAAATAATATCGTCGTGCGTTACGATGAATTCCATAATTATTTTAAGAAAAATGAGTAAATAAATAAATAAATGACGGGTCTAAAATCATCCATGCGTTAAATTGTCACACGAGATGTACGCATATATAAACGAGAGTATAACGACCTCTCGTCGTCGCCGTCGGAGCTTATGTCAGATTATTATTACCATCCAGCCGCGTACATACACGCACTCGAATATATAATGAATGCCGAGTACACGAGATAATCCGTCACGTCCGTATGACACATAATAATAATGACGATGATACTTGTATCGGCCGGTTTTTCAACCCTTCAAATTTTTGTTGATTTATTTTTCTCCTTACAGATCAACTGGTGTTCGCTCAGGGCGCCGCAGCCACTCCCGTCGAGCTTCTGCGCGGCATGACCGAGCTCGGCCAGCAGAAGCACGTCTCCAACGTCCGGCTGTTTCACATGCATCTCGAGGGCCAGGCACCGTTCGCCGACAAGAGCGTCGAGAGTACGTATGATATACACTGTATATTGTAAACTTACGTAACGCACCCAACCTTGACCTTGCCTCTTTCCACGCAGAGAACTTCAGATCGATCAGTCTGTTCATCGGCGGCAACGTGCGCAAGGCCGTGAACGAGGGTAGGGCCGACGCCATCCCCATCTTCCTGCACGAGATCCCCAAGCTGTTCAACGAGGGCCACATCAAGCCCGACATCGCCCTGATCCACGTGACGCCACCGGACTCCAAGGGCTACTGCTCGCTCGGCACCTCGGTCGACTCGGTGCGCTCCGCGATCCAACACTCCAAGGTCATCGTGGCCCAGGTCAACAAGCACATGCCGCGCACCTTCGGCGACGCTCTCGTGCACAAGAGCCACATCGATTTCGCCGTGAATCACGACGGCCCCCTGCCCGCCCACGGCGGCAACGAGCCCAGCAAGGAGGAGAAACTCATCGGCAAGTACATCGCCGAGAATCTGGTGGAGAACGGCGCGACTCTGCAGCTCGGCATCGGTAGCATACCCGACGCCGTCTTAGCTCTGCTGAAGCAGCACAAAGATCTGGGGGTGCACAGCGAGATGTTCAGCGACGGCGTGGTGGATCTCGTGAATCTCGGCTGCGTCACCAACAGCCAGAAGAAGATGCACACGGGTAGAATAGTCGGCTCGTTCTGCGTCGGCACCAACAAACTCTACGACTTCATGGACAACAATCCGTTCATCGAGATGCTGCGAGTGGACTACGTGAACGATCCGAGGGTCGCTGCTAAGCAGCCCAAGATGACGGCCATTAATTCCTGTATCGAGGTCGATCTTACCGGCCAGGTGTGCTCCGACAGCATCGGCACGAGGATGTTCTCCGGCTTTGGCGGACAGGTCGACTTCATCTCGGGTGCGGCCATGAGCGAGGACGGCCGAGGCAAGCCCATCATCGCCCTCAGATCGACGACCAACAAGGGCGCCAGCAAAATCGTGCCCACGCTAAACCTAGGTAATCTATCGTCTTTCCTCTTCCTCTTTCTCTTCGTGAACTGCAGGAATCTTGATTTACTTGTAACTTTTTTTTTTTTTTTTTAACACAGGTGCCGGTGTGGTGACGTCAAGAGCTCTGGTGCGCTACGTCGTCACGGAGTGGGGCATCGCCAGCCTCTTCGGCAAGAATCTGCAACAGCGAGCCTACGAGCTCATCCAGGTGGCTCATCCCGATCACAGAGAGACCCTCGAGAAGGCGGCCTTCGAGCGCTTGAAAGTCATGCCCGAGAAGAAGAACTATTAAATTCTTTTTTTTTTTTTTAGTGAAAACGATAGAGAAAATACAAAACGCAAAAAAAAACTTTCGAGGGGGGTTTAGCGAAAGACACCGTTGTTCGAGTTTAAAAAGAAAAAGCATAGCATTTCTGTCGCGTTTGCCATAAAACAAAAAAACAAACAAACACACACTCATATCGAGGGGTGGGAAAGCGTGAGTTTTTTGCCTCTCTGTTTTAAAGATAGTTTAAAAGACTCTCGTCGTAAAGTAATTTATATATAAAGGAAAAAAAAAACGAGCGGTAACATTGACAGATATATACTATAATATTTATTCAGAAAAGTTTTATCGTCTATCGCCTCGATAATAATGATACAATTCAACAAACTCGTGCAGAAGTCGAGCACGAATAGATTAAACGTATAGAAATATGGGTATTTTGACGAGTTGAATTCGCGCGTCGCCGACTACGACGACGATGACGATCGCAATTACCATTGCATTAATCGAATAATAAAAGAATTTTAGAAGAAAAAAAAATAAATGAACAAATACGAGTACGAAGCACCCCGAGACATAAATCGCACTAATTACTGGAGATACGACTTCGTGTACCTTATAAAAAAAAATTGCGAAAGCAGTAACAAGAGTACCTAAATGCCAGAGTATAATTTTGTAAAAAAAAAAAACAAGAAAAAAATAATTAAACCTGACGCGTCCTTTTTAAAAAAAAATAGCTTGCCAAAGTGATTTATATCAACAGCTGCATTTTTCGATTAAATCAAATTCTACTTCTTCGTTTCGTTTTATCCCGTGAATTTTGTTTTTTTTTCTTTTTTAATTTTTAGGCGATACACCCACCAACCATGTGTTTTCCAGCTTGGAAATTCGTTCGAGCTTACTTATTATACACTGTACACACACGAGTACACACACACGCGCATATATTTTTAGCATAAACGTTATAAATTATATTTTTGTAACTGATTTAGAGGATAACGATATTGTTACGTGTAAGCTGTTAAATCGAATATTGTTTCGCCGATTCGTCATTCTAAAATAATAATTAATAATACAATTGTAAATGTGCAACGAGAGCTGCGCATATTAATATAAAAAAATACATAATTTGTGTAACGCCTGGGATCGCCCTCACGCGGTCCATCGTCATTATTATTATTATAATTTATTTTTTTTTCTTTCTCAAAGCAAGAGATTAAAATATATATTATATTTGAAAAAAGGAAAAGTTTTTGGTCGTTCGTTACTTTTTTCTGGAATATTTCTTGGTTTTTTTTTTGGTCATCGATTACGCGCGCGGATGCTGCTACTGTAGATCTCCCACTTCACAACGGCGCTCTCGCGAGAGAGAGAGAGAACCGGTTTTAAACGTTATGTCCCGCGTGTCTATATATACATAACAGTATATACCCAAGCACCGCTACACGGTACTACGATCATCTTCCTCTGTCTGGGCGGCCCCCGCATGCGTGCTCTTCTCGAGACAGTCGACGGCCTGCGAGCCGTCAATTCGCACAAGTTTCCATAGCCAGCCGGTATACATTATAATGTTTACGGAAAAAACCGCGAGAATTATTGGCAAAAAGCGATTGTGTCATAATACTTCCGCGTGATACTCATCCTTTTTTTCCTCATTAGTTTTTCGACCGCCGAACAGTGAACATGTTCGCGACCGAGAGAGACGTCGTTATCTTCGTCGACGATAATAGTGCTGCTGGTGATACTATAAATAATCAGCTCTGCCGGGCGGTGAGGGATCGCCGCGATCGTCGCGGTATCGAGCGTCTGGCGCGTCTCGCAGCCGAAAATGTGAACAGGGGCAGTCGCGACGCGTCTAGGCGCACGGCCCTTCATCACGCTGTATCGGCCCGTTATCGCGAGGCCGTCGAACTTTTGTTGTTCGAGTGTCGAGACGTGGATCCGAACTCGTACGACGGCTACGGATCGACGGCCCTTCATCTGGCGGTGGCGAGTCAGGACACGAGACTGGTGTTGCCGTTTCTGCTGCATCCGCGGACGAGATTGGCCGCGACGCAGGCCCGGACGAGGCAGTCGGTACTGCATATGGTGGTGCGGGACAGGAACGAGGCTATGTTGCGGTTATTGTTGGCTTTCTGGTCGGATTATCCGGTGGATTTGAGAGACGAGGCCGAGGATACGCCGCTGCATTTGGCTGCCGGGGTAGCCGGCGACGACCCGACATTCGTTGAGATACTGCTGGGACGCGGTGCCGATTGCTCGTTGAGTAATATCTGGAATCAGACACCCGTACACGTGGCCGTGGCCAGGAACAATTTTAAATGTCTCGAGTTACTGATGGAGCACTCGAGTTTTGAAGCGACTGCATCGTCGTCCAACCTCGTGACCCCTCTAAAACTCGCCGTCAAGTACAACAACGCGAGGATCGTCGAGTACCTGCTGAGTCGACAGAGCCAACCGGAGAGCTGCTTGTTACACGAGGCCGTGACTTCGAGCAGCGACGAACTGTTGAAGATGCTGTTGAAGTGGCCGGAAATCGACAAGGAAGAGAAGAATATCGATGGTCAGACTCCGCTTCATTTGGCGATCTTGACCAAGAGCCTCGAGAAGACACGACTGCTGCTCGAGCACGGGGTAAAAGCTACCGATCCCGAGACGATCGCGAGAGCCGTCAGAGCTCGAGCCTCGAGACGGATGTTCGAGCTGTTGATCGAAGCCGGTGCCGATGTCGATGCCAAGAACGACGATAACGAGACGCCGCTCGAGGTGGCTGCGCGAATGCGATCGGCCACGACGATCGGTATATTGTTAAAGTTGGGTGCCGATCCGCTGTGTCTGGCGAACGATCGATCGCTGCTGCACGAGGCGATAAGAGTCGCCGATCATCGATTCTGCGACTTTCTGCTGGCTAATTTCGACGAGGAGATCGACGCGAATTACGTAGATTCGGTGGGTGACACCCCGTTGACGCTAGCCGGAAACGCGCCGATCTCGACGATACGTGCTCTCGTCCGGAAGTTGGCGATCGTCGGGCCAAACGATCGGAATAGGAAGGCGATCGATGAGAATCAAGGGCTTAAGGAGTATTACGAGGAGTGCAGATTGGAATTGAAGCGATTGAACGAAGAAGGTTTGATAAAAGTGTTAGTGACGAGTCGTAGCTGGCGAAAGTCGACGTTTTCAAGGATCAATCGGATAGAGGCTCGAGTGAAAGATGGCAAACGACTAGAAGAGTATCCAATTTATCGGGAAAAATTAGCAACGAATTTGGAGAGGATGAGAGAGAGGCGAGGATGGATGAAGAGGACTCACGAGGCTTTGGTGGAGCTCGAGGCGTTTCACGTGCTGTTCGACGTCATCGAGACGATTGTCGATAATTTTACGAATAAGGAGATGATGTACTTTTTGAAGAATTCCGGTTGATTATAATTAGCGTTTAAGTGGCTGTAAATACTTCTAAATCTAAGAAACCGAATTGTACATATATTACTTTAATCCTATGTGTGTGTAATAAAGACAAAAAAAATGCTGGTAAAAATTCATTCGATTTTTTTTATGCCTTAACTAATTCGATGCTGCACAACGTTATTCAATCGATTTTTATTTACGTCTCTATTCGGAATCGGCAATGAAAATCTGGGAGGAGAGCAGCGCAGCTTACTCGTGCATCGCGATTCGTAAATCATCCGCGTGATAATTACCAATAAACGTCGTCGTTGCGAATCGAGCGAGCCTCGGCGATTATCGCTCGTGCACTGCACAGCGACACATGCCATCGTAATCACTAGTGTACTGTTCGTAAAGAATAAGAAAATCTTAAATTTGATGCAGATTCGATGTACGATTGGACATGAAAATTGAGGTAATCGGGAATTGAATTTTATTTAAGGTATTTTTAAATGAAATCGTGGTTGAAAATTGATGTATTGTATGGATTTATTTTTTCACTTTAGATATACAAAATACATGAAAATGCAGTTTTATAAATTATTTTTAATAATTCTATTCTTTACTAAATATTTAAACATTTTGATTGAATAAAATTCATGAACCTCCAAGTGTATCTATCTACCGCTAGATGGCGAGTACCTTTGTCTGCAAATCCGCAAGTGGCAATGCAAAAACAAATGTACAAGTAGAAGCAATACCAAGTAACAACACTATCAGTATTTTTATTACAATTATACCGTATTTTTTTGGTGAAAATTAACGTATAAGAGGAAAGAGTTTTTTCCTTTGCGTATCTAAGAATATTTTCATGTAAAATAATTCAGATTGATGTGATTTTGTTCAATGAAATAATGTATGAAAAAAATCTTTAAAATTCACATCATATTAATTTGAATGATTTTAATTGAAATTAGATTTATCTACGTGTAAAAAACCTCCTTTAATTTAAATTAATTTCTACAAAAAAATTTTTAACGTAACACGCTTGACAAAAATGTTGATTATTTGTTATAATATTACTGTTATCGAGAGTAACAGAATCAGCAGCATCGGAAATAGGCGCGAGCTCAAGACGGTACGGTAAACGTCAATTCTCGAATATGATTACGATATTTATGCGAATGTAAGATTATTGCGTTCACTTATAATAGACAAATCTCTTTTGACAAAATACTTGCTAAGATCATGGAATGTATTTATGTGAAATTTTAAAGGTCTCGCTACGATCATTGAGATTCGAGGTCAGCTTTGCAGTCAAATCATAAGTGACGAATCTTGCACTCGATGAAATTTCATCGACAATCCGCTCAAAACATGACAGATATATTACATTCAAAGGTTGTTGGCTACGAATACGTACTAACATTTGTGAGGTTTCATGTCACTTTTTCGTACAAATGTTTTGTGACAAATCTTACACACGAAGGGTCTGTTACGATTATGCAGTGCGTTTACGTGGTACTTCAGGTGATCTTTTCTTCCAAATGATTTAGAACAAATATTACATTTGTAAGGTTTGCTCCGATCATGTACTGCACTCAAGTGGTTTTTAAGGGTACCCTTTATTCCAAATGATTTGTGACAAATCTCACATTCAAAGGGCTTGCTCCGATTATGTACTATATTTATGTGAGATTTGAGGATAAACTGCCTTCCAAATGATTTAAGACAAATATCGCATTTGTAAGGTTTGCGCCGAGCATGTACTGAACTTATGTGCTTTTCGAGGCTTGCTTTTTGTCCAAATGATTTGTGACAAATGTCACATTCAAAAGGTTTAATTTGATTATGTACTAAATTTATGTGAAGTGTGAGGGAACTCTTTTGTCCAAATGATTTGTTACAAATTTCACATTTGAAGGTTTTGCTACAATTATGTACTAAATCTATATGCTTAGCAAGCTTACCCTTCAATGAAAATGATTTATGACAAATCTCGCATTCAAAGGGTTTGCTACGATCATGTACTATATTTATGTGTGTACTGAGATAACTCTTGTTTGAAAATGATTTGTGACAAATCTCACATTCGAAGGGTTTGCTACGAATATGTACCCCGCGCATGTGAAGTTCGAGAGAATGTTTGTATCCAAATTTATAGTGACAAATCTCACATTCGAAGGGTTTGATACGATTGTGTACTGAATTTATGTGAGATTTAAGAGAACCCTTTTCTCCAAATGATTTGTGACAAATGTCACATTCGTAGGGTTTATTCCGATTATGTACTGTATTTATGTGCTTAGCAAGGTTACCCTTCAATGAAAATGATTTATGACAAATCTTACATTCAAAGGATTTGCTACGATTATGTACTGTCCTTATGTGCCTTTTAAGATCTCTTTTTTGCCCAAATGATTTGTGACAAATCTCGCACTCACAGGGTTTGTTTTTATACGGCCTAATACTTTTAAGTTTTGTATTGACATGTTTTTTTAGACTTGATTCAGTTTTCTGACACACTTTTGACTTATTTGATGCTCTTTTTTCAGCAGTTTCATAAAAATTTCTCATCTTCAGATATTGGGACCGTTTGAAACGAGAGCTCATGTAAAATCGACAATTATCATCATAATTAAATCCTTTTTTAATCAAAATTACCAGCTTTTTGTTATTCACGTAATTTTTCGGATTTGGGTTTTCTTTTTTAACGTTAGGTTGACAACTTTTATCTTTAGCCTTGCAAATGATTGTCAGACGAGATGTCTGTTCAAGTTTAACACTTTTGCACTCAAAATCAATGAATATATTTTCTGTTATATCATTGGTCTGCTCTTCGTTTTCTATTTTTACAATCGATTGGCAATTTTGATAATCACATAAAGAAGTCGGTTGAAGTTTAACGTCTTTGCACTCAAAATCTATCCGAACATTTTCATCCAAACTTTCCTGCGACGCCACATCTTTATTTACGTGTTCTGCCTGAAATTAAAAATTTGTTTCATTTTTTGAATGTTAAAAAGCAGTACATAGTTCAAAATTTTAAACATACTGATATTTCATGAATCGGCGATATTTCAACTTTTATTGCTTTGCAAGAGTCCACCGAATCCAGAACATAGTCGTCAGCTGCAGTCGTCAAAGTATCGCTGGGCTCTTCCTTCACCCTAGAGGATAATCGAGTTTGATAAGTGATTGCTCAAAAAATTATCATGGCAGTATAATAACATATTGATGCTCTTTACGAAGATTAACACGTTTATTTGTTAATTTAAATAGAAAAGTGTTATTCCTTGTAAAAGACGTGGATATATGAAAAGTGCCTAATTATTTCGCGATTACTATTTATTACTTCCTCTTTATAAACATAAGATTACGATTATAAGATTACGAGTAAAGAACTACTTGTAACGTCGAGACGTTACGTCGAATGTGACTTACTTGCAATGAACTTTGTTAATGTTTTCTGGGATAAACTTTTGAGCTTCTTCATGCATCATCCTTTCGATTGGACAATAGACGAGATGTCAGTAAAGTTCGAACTTAGAAATAGTTAGGGAAAAAATGGCACTTTCAATTTGACAAAACGTCTAAAACTGTTTATTGCAACGTTGACTGTGATTACTTTAGAGAATACGTACACTGAACGTCATTTACTTTTGCCATACCTTAGCAAAAAATGAGTAAACTTCAAAGTGTCGTAGCTCAATCAAATAGGGCGTATCGAAATGGTGATGATACCATTAGAAATGTTTTTTTGAGTACTTAATTTCTATGTAAATTATTTAATGTTTATTTATTCTTTCATAGATTGTAATCAACAATTAACGAATCAAAAATATTGGTTTTTCTTGTCTGTATTATTTCTTTTGCCGTTTAAGTTAGAGAGATTTGTTGGTTTTTACAAGACTTTTAATAATATATTTGTTTTAAAGTACCCAAAAATTCCGGAAATTCGTCAAAATTGTCGAATTTATTAAAATTTTCAGAACATTGGAATACATTAAAACAGCCGTCTATCAAGGTAAATGTATAAAAAACAATTTTAAAACATATTATTCATTATAAATAGTTAATTAGAAATCGGTCTTGTAAAAACCTCGGAATGTTTCTACAACCTCTCTAACTAAAATGGCAAGAGAAATAGTAGAGACAACAAAAACAAATATTTTTGATTCGTTAATTGTCAATTACGATCTATGAGTAAATAAGTAAAGCTTGTAAGAATATACATAGAAATAAAGTACTTTATGCAACCTTTTGAAGAATGATGTTGTTAAAATTTCGATCCGCTAATTTTAGACTGAGCTACGACACTTTGCAGTTTAGAAGATGTGTAATATATCAAATCTTTATTAACTGCAGCAAACGAAAAAAAATTGTCAAGCATAAAAGAAAAGATAGTTAATTTATTTAGTGAATTTAACTTACATTATGATATTGTCGAAGTACTGGTATCGTAAAGAGGCTCAAACACTGAATCACCACAAAGAGAAAAACACTTAGACACTTTTGTAAGCAAGATGTTGCCTGTTGGACTGCTGGAGCACGAGTAAGTCGAGATGTGTGTGTCTGTAGTGCTGACACATGAAATTGTATTGAGCTCGAATCGCGGCTGAATTTTTATGGCTTTTTCAGGGCCAGCATTGGCGGCCTGTTTTTCGTTAGCAGCCAAGACGTTAGTTTTTCTGTTTCTCTTCTTTCTTTGAGCAGATGGTCAAACTTTATCAAATACAATACTTACATAGCATACATAGCATTTACTTATATATGAATTTAATATTTTCATGCGGTTTTTCTTCATTTAATTGTCATAATCATTATTGCATGTAAATATTTATGCTCAACTTTTTGTCGCTGTTTGAATGACTCGCACATATCGACCGGCTGTAGCATTTATTTGAAGTTTTAGATTGTTCATTATTTTTTTGTTATTAATTTGGAAAAAGGCGATTTGATACAGAACAAAGAAACAGTAGATCGTTTTATATTTCGACTTCGCTCCTTGAATTGTGCTTGGGGTGCAATTGTTTCGGTTGAAATTATTTTGCGATGTTAATAAATATTATTCGGTTACTTGTTTTAGATACATTATGGAACATACGAAAGGAAGGCACATGGATCTAATAGTTCCTTGAAAACAATAGTAACCGTCTACTTATTTCTTTATGGCGGTCGTTAAAAAAGCATCGAATTCCTTTCGGGTCATACAGCTGTTTCAGGCCAGCAACCAGCGACGTTCCTGTATGAAAAATTATCCCGATAGCATTTTGTCGTCAACTCTTTTGGAAAAAACTCTTTTGTTTTTTTTTCAAAAATAATTTTTTTCTCTAAAAATACGAAAAAATTAGTTTTCAACTCTCTGAAGAAGTTTTAAAAATGATTCATTTTGATGTTGCGATCATTTTAAATAATCTATTCAAGCCAATCAATAAAATGTATAAAAACAATTTCAAAAAATGAATTTATTGTAGTTTGAATCATTTTTTCACTATTACTGCACAAAAATACATGAAAATCCAATTATATACATTATTTTTAATGCAAAAATTTACAAAAAGCCATTCGATATTTTACTCGCCTATTTTTATTGTAAAAATTGAAAAAAATTAATTCAAAATTTAAACATTTTGATTTAGAAAAATTCACGATACTGTAAAAGATATCATTAAAGCGAGCCTCGATCACAAGATGGCGAGTACCTTTATCTACAAATCTACAAGTGGCAATGCAAAAAAAATGTACAAGTAGAAGCACATTAATGACGTTTCAACGTAATGTTTTTCTTCTGTTTTTGGTTTTGTAAACACTTGTACTCGCCTTTTAAACAGCCACTATTTCTTAGGGTTAATAATAAAATCTAAAAAATTGTAATGACCCGATTCAAGCTTTAGAAAATCAATACTAACAAAATCATTGTAATTAGATTCATTTCGAAGTACAATAAAAGATAATTTTATTAAATTGAAGTTTACAAATAAAATTGAACAATCAAATTAAATTGAATATTTACATCTTCAATGTTGAAAATGAAATATCACTATATGAAAGTTATTGTAAAGTGTAGGACATTTTTTCTTTGCATATCTGAGTCTATTTAATTTAAAATAATTAAAATTGTTGTAATTTGAATTAAACTTTTAGAATGTCACATAAAATTAAATAAAATTATGTATGAGAAAAATACTCAATTTTTAAAGTAATTTTACTGTAAACATTGTCAACATCCACGTTCGACAAATAATTGATTATCCATTATAATTTTACTGGTATCGAAAAGATCAGAAACAGCATCATTGGGAGCAGGTGCTAGCTAAAATTTGCGGAAAAATATTAATTGAATTTCATAGATATTATATAAATTGAGACGAGATAGTTATATTAAATACATTAAATTTTCATTTCGTACTTCTGACTCTGCAATGAAAATTCATTTCATACTTATTTACTGCATGAAAAATGAAGTTACAATAACAATTTTTAGCTATCGTTGTGAAAACGATCTCCTCACGAAGATCGATCAATTTTTCATTAGTGATTGCAAAAGTTTTGAATATCATTACGATACTTATTTAACATAAGTTTGGGAATGCAATTTTATTACGTTCACCTATGATGGACTTATTTTAGACACTTCATCGAATATTCGAGAAGTAGCTAAATGGATCTAAAATTTTCTTCGAAACAAAAGTAACCGTCTACTTATTTTATACAGTGGTCGTAAAAAAAGCATCAAATTCTTTTCGGGTCATGTAGCTGTTTTAGTCCAGCAACCAGAAACATTTTTGCATGAAAAATTATTCCAGCAGCATTTTTTTGTTGCAGCTTGCTGGAAATTTTTGTGTCTTTTTGTTAAAATTGATATTTTCGAGATTTACTTAACATTGTAATTTTGAAAAAAGTGCAAAAATGGTAGTTAATTGCAACCCTCTGAAAAACGCTTAAAAATGATGAATTTCCATCTCGCCTGTAATGCTGGATCATATTTGTGAGTCCATTAATGATGTGGATAAGAAAAAATGTCATAAAGTAAATTGTTGAGCTATGGTTTTTAAGTGTTGTTTGTAAAGATAAGAATCAACAAAAAAAAATTCATTTGTTCCTAGGTACTGAAAATTGGAAGTTTCTTTTATGATTCAAAGGAGTGAGCATAAATGGTAGAATATCCCAACGGTCGGAAGGTATTGGCTGAGTAAAGACTTGAACTTCTTATCCACTAATGATAAATTCTGAACAAATTTCGAGACGTTCCTCAAACAATTTTAAGACTTCAATAATCCATCATTATTTCCTTTAAACTGAATAGTTCAGGAAATGATAAATAGTGAAACTCAAACTTAACGTTTTTAACTCCATTCGCTATTTTGTTTAGAAAAAATTTTTTTTGGCAAAACTAATCATGTTTACGTGAGGATACGTTCTAAGCATTTAAGCCCATAAAAATTATAAATTATTTTAAACGCCACCATTGGAACGAGCAACTTAAGAAAAATGTGTTAATGCAGCTTTCTAAACTTTTCTCGTTTTGATTGGGATACGGTAATTTCAGAAAATCTCTCTGAACGAATTAAAAATGCTCTGTATTTGAGTAGGAGGAGCTTGACTTAGTTGCGTAGAAATCATTTTTCATTCATTACTTTAAGAACAACATGAATCGATTTTCTCTAGCGTCAATAAGGATGGTGAAAAATCAAAAATCATAGAAATTTCACTCGAAGACTTTCACCTAATGAATGCAACCTCCAGAATTGCCAGTTCAAAAGCATCATCGACCAGAGTCTTACGGTGCACGCACAGCAGAGAGTCAAAATAATTTCTTCAGTGTATTACAGTTCTACCGATTAGTTGATAAAATGTTCAAGTTCATGCTTTTGATCGTCGTTTTAACTGGTAAGTACTTCCTTTGAATTTTACTCCGACGAAAAAAAAATTAAACCTTTTTTTTTCAAATAGCCTGTGCGTCGTCGATGAGCGTCAAAGCCAAGCCATGCCCTGATAGCTGTAACGACATCGACAAAGATGAAAATGGCCAACATCTGTGCGAAAGCGATGAAGATGAAGCCAAGGCAAGTTGGGCCCAACAACGAAGGCAAGCTGAAAGTTACAATGCAACTTACTTCAAAATGTCAAATACATCTGATCCACCGACTAGATACATAATCCTCTACCCCACAAGGACGGAAGGAGAGCCAATATACCTGCCGGTCTGATGAAATTAAACAATAAATATTGATCATTAAATGCATTTGTATTTCATCATTCAAAATCTCCTTTCCATCGTGCTGCTGGAGTCATGAAAAATATCTTTTAATTTTATACAAGTGCTGGCGATCTGCGGTGCACGCACCGAAATGACGATGCCGCCCAGCTGAGAGCCAGCGAGTAATATGAAAACATCGGAGTCGAGCAAACGCGACGAGCTGCTTTCTACAGTGATATTCTTATAGCAGCTATAAGCTTACAATAACGTCGCGCTGAAATCATTGAAATTATCGAAGTCATTTTATTAGAGCCGAAAATCACTATTCGTTAGTGAAATCCGATGAACTATCAATCCCGGGCTTGATTGATTATTTTCTCGTTTTTTTTACTTTACATTTAGAGCTTCAAGATCGACCGCCAGGTGACGCATACCGAGAGGGTCGGGAACCCCAAAGTGGTAAATCACTTTGCAGAGTATTTGTGGCACAATTGGAGTCAAAGCTTAAATCTTCGTAATGATTTTTGTCTGAGAGGCTTATTGTTATTCTTAATGTATACATTAGTATAAATCGACAAAATGTTTGTAATACCTAACCTAATTTAATATCACAGCGAGTGCTAACGCTCAATCCATTCTGTGTCAGAAAAAAAATAACTACTAGTTTTGGGTAAATGTTTAAATACCAGCTGTACTTATCATGAAAGTTTTTGAACATAAATAAACATTTCTTTAAAATGAGTATTTGTGGCTCCTTGATTGTTCCATAATGGCATTTTCATAATAGACTAATCGAGTGTATTTGTAATTTTCCACAAGAATACTATTTGTATCATAAATACTTAGATAACGTTAATAGCCGCTACCGGGCTAAACCAAATACATTACTGTATACGATTAGAGGTAACACGGGCGCTTGCTTTACTTGTAAACTATGTACAAAGATAAAAGTCGTGCTTAGCACGCATTTGCAACCATACCTACTCAATAAAGACATATTACAAAATCAAAATTCTTAATTGTAATTGCTAATTTGCTATCCAGAATTTATATGATGATAAATTGCCTTGATAAAAGTTGATATAGACATTGTAGTCCGCTGTGTGCCGGGATCCAAAAAATCTCGACTTTGACGTCTTTGTCGGCTAGTTCAATGAGCTTTAACTTAATTTTTTCTACCAATGGTGGTTCGTTTTTGAGACCATGCATTTTGTTTAGAGCTTCGAGGTTGCTACGTGAATCTGAGAAGATTCTGAAGCCGTTTACATTTGGCTCAGTTGTTGATTCTTTCCAGAGTGAGTATAATGGCTAAGCTTTCTGCGGTGAAAATAGACGCTAAGTTTGGTATTTTCATATCGGTTCGAAAGAATTCTTTGCTGCACCAGACTGCACACTCAACTGCTGCATTGTCAATGCTGCCGTCGGTATAAATATTTGTTGTAGAGGCGCTTGGCGGAAATAGTTTAGAGAACTCCTTTTCTGGGTTCTTCGAGTTAAGCAGATTTTTTTTTATTACATTACAATTTGCTTGAAAAAAGAGGGCATGGAAAGGTACTTCAAACCCTTGGTAGTTGTCGTACGTATTGGAGAATATGTCCATTATAAAGCTCACATTCTTCAAAAATCTTGGTCGTTCTTGATTTGTTGAAATTGTGTTCGTATATTTTATATTTGCTGTATTAGCAAGAGTTTCTTTGCTCCGTACGACTAGGTGGTTGTGGATAATGACATTGCAGACTAATTATTCGAATGTCAATGATCAGGTCATAATTTTGATAGAAAAGGAATTCGATCGTGATAATAGTGACTTCCAAGTGAACTCCCGGTCGAAGTTTGACAAGCGTAAGGAAGTTGAAATATTCGCCAATACATCTCACCTGAATACCGTACAACAGTACAAATCGATTGAATGTGAGATTTGTCATAAGACATACGGCCGCAAGGATTCCCTCAAAACTCATAATTGCAGTACACGATCGGAGCAAATCTTTCGAATGCGAGATTTGTCACCAGTGATTTGGATACCAAAATTGACTCAAGAATCACATTATAAAAGTATATAATCGGATCAAACCCTTTGAATGTGATATTTATCATAAATAATTTAGAGGAAAAAGAAATCTTAAAATACACGTAAAGAAAGTTTATGATCGTGTACTTTAAAACTATCACAGTAAAACGATCATCGTCGATCGGAAGAGACACTACCTGCGATTGGCGATGTAACAATTATATAGCTCTGTTGCAGTTAAATAAAGTATCAGACAATCGTAGAAGAGTTTTTGATTATTTTTTCTTTGCAATTTTGGATCTGCTGTAACTCGCGCGCAACGGATTTATCGCAGTGTGAGCAATTCTGTAAAAAAATCCTTGAAATTCGATGGAAGTTTGTTTCACTTGATGTAATTTCGATTTTGATAGACAAAGTGTTGTAAAAAAGTTTTTTTGTGCTACGTGATTATCAACCTCGGCTTCGCCTCGGATGATAAATTACACGTGCTCTGAGACTTTCCAGTTTTTCACTACCTACGTGCAAAATATACTAATTCTGTGTTGACATTGTCGAAAGCATTTGAAATTCTTTTCTGAATCTCTTTTTAGTTTTGGGACATGGAACACCCGAAGAATTATCAGTGGAGCTCGAAAAAAATCTTCATCTAAATGTTATAATTTACTGAAAACGAGACTACTATATTCATTGAAATCGAGGGATGTACACAAACATTTTCATAACAATTACTATTTATGAAACTAGCTCTATGTCAGTGTACTTTGTGCACCTTAGAATCATTTTTTTTAATTTCTCGTTTTCCTGATAATAATAATTCTTTTACAGAAAAAAAGTTCAAGTAGTGGATACATTATGTCATTTTTTTATTGATTATCATGACTTTGCATGAGATTGCATTGAAATCTCCGAAATTTAATGGGTTGATTGATAATTTGTAAATGTTATTGAACTTAACACGCGTCATTTGATTCCAGCAGCAGCAGCCCACCCCAGCACAAGTGTCAAATAAATCAAGCGTGAGATATATATCGCCGCTGCTTATGAGTAAAAACACAGTGAAAAACGCTGTGAAAAAAACCTTTTTCGAAAATGTCATGAAAATCAACACACCTTGTTGGATGCCGTGAAGAAAAATACACCTCATTGAAATGCTGTGAAAAAAAAACACCTCATCGAAATGAGGAAAAGAAAAACACATCTAACCGAATCACGATTTTACAAATCAGGTTGAAAATATCTTGGTTTTTCAAAGAAGTGTGTTTTTCTTTACGGCATTCGGTGAGATGTGTTTTTTTTCGCAGTATTTCGTTAAGGTGAGTTTTTGCTCATAAGCAGCGGTGATGTACATGCAGAGAGAGAGAGAGAGAGAGAGATACATAGGTATGAACGTAATTTGAAGTAGACACACATACACACGCACATACCACGATTATTTCGCCGGTGCTTATGAAGAAAATTTCATTTTTACTTTGATGGTAATAAGTTATATACAACATTTTTGTAAATGAAAAATAAGGTTTTGTTACTATATCCATTTGTAGATACTTTAGATGATTTAGATTTGTGTAAATCTGATGAAAATGTTTGCATCTATACATGCTCTAACGAGAGCAGCGGTCCAAAGTATCGATGCCAACACCAGTGGCCAATTCGACTGCATCGTATGTTCCGCCGAACAGAAGAAAAAATATAAGTGCAAGCTCAAAAAGCTCAATACGAAACTTAAAAGAGCATGAGACACGTGTGAAAGGTAAAAGGTCCTTCGGAAGGAGTGGATCGCGTGATTTTCAGATGTCTCATCGAAATTAGATTCAACAAGTTTCGAAAATGCCTGTATACTATTTACTGAGTTTGGGCAGACGACAAAGGAGAGGGAAAATATCGTTAACGAGCTGCCATAAACGCGGGATCTCCTCGCCATATGATACATCAGTACGCCTTTAATCGCTGGAAAGATGGTGAAATCCGGCCGTAAGCGACTGATGTTTACAAATTTGTAAATTCGAGGTCTACATCGTCATTGCCTACTTTAATTTTACTTTCTACCAGTGATCGCATATGATCTAGTGTTCGATAGAAAGTTAAGAAGACCTACTGAGGTATTACTTTTTTGTGCATGCTGTTATATTTCTTGAGAAGTTTTTTTTAATCGATCTTGATTATTCATTAGGTTTAAAGACAAGCAAAGATCTAAATTTGGATTCGGCGGACTCGTGCACGGCCAAAAACGTCGGGGCATTTAATAAGGAAATTGAAACGAATACAAAATCTGACATGGATGCAATGGGGGACAGTATTAACAGACTATTCACATGTGAATTTTGTCATAAATCATTTAGACATGAAAGTGACCTCAAGTGTCACAAGGACTCATTCATTCTTCATCCACTACTTATTCATACTTCCGTTGATTCTAAGATTTTAGATGATGCATTGGACCTGCAAAGTGACTTGGAACGTCGTAACGACACAGAACACAATCAGAAACAAAATTTTGAATCGGAGATTTGTCACAAATTATTAGGCCACAAAAATCACCTCGAAAAACACATAAATTCAATGCATAATCAGGAAGAATCCTTTGAATGTGAAACTTGTTATAAATCATTTTCAAGCAAGGGTGATCTCACATTTCATAAAAATGCAGTACATAATTGTTGCAAACCGTTTGAATGTTATATTTGCCAAAAAAGATTTAAAACGAGGGACAATCTCATGAGTCACGTACAGTGTGTGCATGATCAAAGTAAACCCTTCAAATGTGAGACTTGTCACGTATCATTTGGACAAGAGGATCAACTCAAACATCATGTGAATACAGTTCATGAGCGAAGCAAACGCTTCGAATGTGTCATTTGTCATCATTTATTTGGAGAAAAAGGTAATCTCAACAAACACATAAATACAGTACATCATCGGATCAAACCTCATGAATGTGGAATTTGTCACAAATCCTTTGGGCAAAAAGGTACCCTCACTCATCACTTGAGTACAGTACATAACGGGAGCAAACCTTATGAATGTGAAATTTGTCATAATTCATTTGGAAAAAACAGTCATCTCACAAGTCACATAGCGACTGTACATGACAGGAGCAAACCTTATGAATGTGAAATTTGTCATAAATCCTTTGGACACCAAAGTCACCTTAAATCCCACATAAGTTCAGAACATCAACGTATCAAACCCTTCGAATGTAAAATTTGTCTCAAATCATTCGGACGAAATAGTGATCTTAGAAGACACATAAGGAATGTACATAAAATTGAACCTTTTTAAAATTTTGCCAACCTCATCAATGTACACATTGTAACAAATTATTTGGAGAAAAAGGTAACCTCGATAGACACCTAAAAGAGGTCCATCTCGAGCCGAATTCTATACTTATAGCAGATACCAGAATACACTTAAGAACTAAATTTGACAGCCCCTAATCTTATCTACCCGAGACAATTGCGATAAAAGAAAATATATCTACTCTTATATACATAAGCTATGTAATTTTAAAGAATCTTCCAAATAAATATCTTTCAATCTTTCAATGTATTGAAAAACGATAAAATATTTCAAACTGTTAATAATTTTTTCATGATTGTAAAGTCATTTTACTCATCTTTCGCACACCACCTCAAATTTCAACACGTTTTTATCTTCAATCTGTTCTTCTGCATAAATTTCACACGTCAACCCTTCACAATTATCTTGCACGCGAGGATTTGACAGCATGATTTATATAGACGAATGACATAATTTAACGATCCTCGTCGCAATCGTCAATGAATCCAGTTTATTTCAATGTTCTGTACTCATAGACACACATTGCGTAAAATTGTTCTAGGTCTACGGGAACGCAAAAGAAAATATTTCTACGGTACTTTCGAGTCCGACAGAACTTTTTTGGATCTGTTAATAAATAACCAATAGTCGGATGGACTGAACAAACCTATTAACGCTAACCTAGTAACGCTATAAGTGTAAAGCTTTTTTATTGTAATATCAATCGCAAAAATTGAGATAAACAATGAACAATCGATGCCATTTAGTGCGCCACAATTAAAAACATTATTCTCCCTCTCGCTCTTTTGGCAGCCGCAGTAGTATCACACTTGTAGAGTGTTGTAGATGTAGAACAGAGATGCAATACAATAATAGATAATCATAATTACTCAAACATATTCTTCGTAATTCTCTGGGACATTTATAAGATGTGTTTGAAATATTACTTGAATCAAATTTATTCGAAATCAGATTTTGTACTCTATGAAGAGCTAGTAAAAAAAAACATCGTATATTTTAATATTAATCTTTTTTGTTTGAGATTCGCAGTTATAATATTGTTACTACCTGATTTTCCAATGACCAATAAAACTTTATTGGATTTGTATTATCACGTGTGTAATACCGTTAGAGTCTGCATCGTTATGAGTTCGGAAAGCTAATTTTGCGCCTGGATGAATGACATTTTCACTGCGATTTCGGTGTATATTTTTTTTTAAATCTTTTATTGGCTTTGGTATGAATACAAATTGCCTATATCTATTACATAAATTATGCCCTTATAGTTTTATATACCAATACAATACATATTCCTGGGAGATTATAAATATGTTCACGTTTACATTAAAAGTATTAGTATAGTAACTTAAAATTATTTTCTATGTGCATAGTGTTCTAGTAATTCAAAACTAAGTTTAAATATTAAAATCACAGTTTAGTATAAAGTCAGATATGATATTTATAGTTTCGTTGTTTATACTCGTAAGCAAGGGTATGACAGAGTATGGGCCGTGTAACTGCAGTTTTCTCAACCTTCTTAACATTTTATTTTTTTGTGTTTCATGTAGATGGCATTGCAAAAAATTATATTCCACTGCCTTATCGTATTGGTCGCATTTACATTTGCTACTACTTACAATTAGGGCTGTGCGAGTACTCGAGTTTTTTTTCGGGTACTCGAATTTTTTCGAGTAATCGAGTTTTTTGAGTACTCGCAATATATTTAAGTTTTAAGTAATGAAAGTTTTAAGTAAAGAATTTAAATGATGAAGCGTAGTACAATTAAATTATTTTCTTCTTTTAATCCAATCCGTTGCCAATATTACACTTATAAGTATGTACTCACAAAGGGAGGTGGTCTAGAGACTATGAATTCATCATTTATTTACTTAAAACTTAAATATATTGCGAGTACTCGAAAAACTCGATTACTCGAAAAAAACTCGAGTACTCGACTCGAACTCGAGGAAAAAACTCAAAATCGACGAGTCGAGTTTTTTCGAGTACTGCACACCCCTACTTAATACATCGCGTCGAGTCTCATTGCAGCGGCTCAGCAGCAGAATCTAAAAGTTCAGCTACTATACACTAAAAAATGGAATTAACTTTTTAAGCGATGAACATTTTGATCTGAGTTCTATGGAAGAAAATTTCCTCATGCTTCCTCGCATGAAGAAGCCCCTTAGTAAAGGGCCTTAGCAAAGGGCTTCCTCATAAAAAATCCTATTTTTATAAAGATTTGGCTATTGAGGGGAAAATTTGTACACGACATTTTTAATTTTCGTATAAGAAACTCCAAAGAACCCGAGGGATTTCTAAAATTTCGTATAACTTTCCGCTGAATAGACACTACATTAAATAATACGAATGACCACTAGTATAAACTAACTGAACCTTTAATATTGATAAATTAATTACAATAATTATAGTTCTTCCATTTAAGCTAATAAAAAGAGGATAAGCTCAATTATTTTGCGGAAATAATATTATTTGATATGAAGGGATTTTAAGAGTTCATTAACCGACGCTCAGAGCCGATTCACCGGTCATGGTCCTACATTTATAAATGTTTTTCTTTGTTTGAAAAATTATTCAAAAACAATTACATTGGTAAGATTAAAACTATATATACTACCTGATTTTACAGTATTTTCGAACAACTGTATAACTTTCTCAATGCATTGATGTTTGTCGTTATTCTGTGCATATCGTGTAACATCATTCTAAGTGGTACCACAGCAAGTAAGAACCCTATTATATATAAGAAGAGTTATTAATTTAAAAAATATTACGGAGAGAATAATTGATTCTACTTGAAACTTATAGATATCAATAAAAATATGCTACTAATATTCATAACATGTTCAATGATCAATTACAGATGGTAGTTGTAATGGATACGAGCCGAACAACAGCTATTAAAATGTTGATAGTACATTGTCTTTCTTTGATTGTCATCACATGTATGTGTGTTCCTAGTCAATTTCTTAGCAATGCTAGCCATGATACGTACATCAAATCGTGAGATTTCTGGATACTTAAAATAAGTTTAATTGACAACAATTAAAAATTATTTAAAAAATTCACGTTCGTAGTTATTGCATCAATTGGTATAAATATCCACCAAAGGCTAGACTCATGGTTGTATTACTTTTATTAAGGTCAATGAAACCTTTCGTACTAGAGGCTGGATCGATTGTTGAATTAAATCTCGAAACGTGCAGCAATGTAAGTCTTTCGAATTATACCAATTATATTAATTAATAACAGAAACAATGATTTGGTGCGATTGAAAAATTTCTCTTCAGATTATAAAAAGGACATTATCGTTTACGGTAACCTTTCGATCATTTTACAATTCAGGTTCTACGTAAGAGAAAACGTTTTTTGTCTTTATAGTGCCCTGTAGTGTATGTCTATACATAATTTTAAAAAACCCGAATTCCGACCGTTGAAAAATTTTATATTATGGTTGAAAAATCGCGATCTAATTTTTTTTCAAATGGTACACTTGAAGTAAATTTAAAAAATGAGGCATAGTTGTACCTGTGGCTATTATTTCTAGTGTAAAGCCATTTCAATAAAAAAATCAAAGAAAATAATTTATTTGTGTTATTTTGACTATTGAATGGCAAAAGAATTTTTTTTTGGATAACTAATCAATTTGAATTTGTCATACACCCCTTACGAGACTTTTCAATATTTACATGCGTACTCATATGCTCGCGCACGTGCCTAAAATTTGAGCGTTATAATAAGTTTTATTTTACTTAGGGATTCTATGTATACGACTTTCGACTATTTTGAAAACAAAAGTATTCAGTATAAGGTCATGAAAAAGAACTAGCTCTTATCATTTTCATATTCAAAAAAAATGTTATATTGTTTCTAATGTTTGAAAACTTTTCTATTGTATTAAAAACTACGAGAAGCATAATTTATTTAGAACTCATTCTTCGAATTTCGACTGCATAGTAAAAGAATAACAGTGGTCAACTTTTTTTCTATTTGTTTACATTGTTTTTCAACGAGTGAGACAAGGATTACACCATATTATTGAGAAAATCGATACATTCATATCCGCTGCCCACAAAATAAAGGGTGATGCTCAGAATCGAATTTCTATTTTATCAAAGTTGGAAATATTTTGAAATATTTATACTATATTATAATTAATACATATATGAATTAACTGAATTATACCATTCGTTGCTCTTCAAAAAATCATTTGTACTTTAGTACACGTACTTCTTAAAAAAGGCAGCTTCGAACACACCAGTGACCGTAAAAAGTAGATTATTCAAATGTACGAATATATAAACACAATCATTATAAATATATCAAACGATTATTAACTTACAACAATAACTTTGTGAAGAAAATTTGAAAAAATGTACTTTTTAAATTAACAATTAGTGACCTGATCTGTTTCTTTATTATTAAATCAAAGCATTGATTTAATATTTCTCTACAGACGTTGATTCGAGTTTTGAAGAAAAGCTAGTAGTAAGTTAACGTAGTCTTTCCGGTTGAATAAGAATAATTGATAAAAAAATATAAATTTATCGCGCAACGACCCGATTGTAAATCCTCCGCAGATACACGTTTATACATGGAAATATAAATTTATTATTTCATATCTCTAATGAACAAAACAACATACACACACACACACACACACACACACACACACACACACACACACACACACATATATTTCATTATTCCGTAGGAAGTCTTTTTTAAAATATTTAACAAATCTCTACGTTCTGACAACTCCAACGACTTGCGAATTTATTGGAAATTTGGAATTGTGTTTTATGACTTTTTCAGGTGAACTGGCGTTTATAAAAATATATATTTGAATGTTCACCAGTATCATACAACTCTTAAATTCAAAATGCTTTCGCGTTGAATTAAATCACTTATAATTTGAGATAAGCTTTACTTTTTGTTTCAAAATGATGATATTGGTGCGGAGTCGCAACGTGTACTGATCTATACACACCACATACTCGTAGATGTATATCAAGTGCGCAGAGAGGGAAAAAAGCGCCAAACTATCTTGGGTCACCAAGGAAGGCTCCAATTGCGGATCTCGAGCTGTGTAACGACGAATTACATCAGCAATTGCAGGTCAACGTCTGGGACGAGAAGGGCCGAACACCGCTGCATTTGGCTCTACTTTGGGGCAAAAAAAATATGGCTGAGACTCTGCTGAGACGATGCGCCAATGCGAATTTGGCCAACGAGGACGGA